GATTTGTGAACAACAATCTAAGCGGATTAAACATCTCATCCTAGCCAAAGTGGAAGCAGCGGGACCTGGCAGTCATAATTCAAGTTTGTTTGCACAAAAACAATTTGTGAAAACACTATGTCTCCCATGGCCTGCCACACGCCCCATTTTCACCCGTCCCTCTGAATGTTCACCAAATCCGGAATAAACCTCACCGGAACCAGTGGGCTACTGTAATAATCGAACAGGAACCGGAATTGAACAGCGCGAACTTGAACTCGGACTGAGAACCCACTGAATTACGCAACGCAAGGTAAAACCAAGACGAGCTGTGGATACAGATAATTCTATTGAGAAAAGCACGCAAATATATATCACATGTGACCAACAGTTATTGGTCGGTTCCTGGACGTCCAATCGGCGACAGTGTGGTTTATTATTATACCTTCATGTATTCGGCCAATCTGGATGATGCCAATCGGGACCACAGGATTGGTTGGTTATTCTATTCTTGATCGGTTATCCGGAAGCTGTACCGCGGTGCGTGAGTATTCGTTGCATGATCACCACAGCTACCTACCCTTCACGTTTATTGATTTGCTACTGTTAGTATTTGTATGTCATATGCCCGCCCTCCCGTACTTGTGAATTTTGATGTAACTTGCAAAAAAGACGAATCATTCAAAACAAGTCTTGTTCGCTACATTGTGTTCTACTCAAAATGTTCTTTGGTGATCTCGTGGGACGATTCAAATACGCGACATTCGTAGGGTGCGATTTTTGGAGGGAGTTGAGTGACAGATAAACCCTCGATGATCGTTAATGATACCCGTCGTATACCACATAGTTTTACACATTCCTTTACAACATTCAAACCACAAAACTATTCAGATCCACCTGTGCATTCGCGTCCCCAACACATCATATTTTTGTTTCTGTGTCTGAAAGAGGGCAGGTTGCCCGTGTAAGCCCCGTCACCACTGGGTCGGAGGTCCGATCAAAAGTGTACGTTCCACCATAGCCCCTTCATGTGCTTATCCAGACGCCGTTTGAAAGCAGCGTCTGTCTCCTATTTCACCACAATCGCTGGAAGGAAATTCCAGAGTGTTGTTGACCTACGCGAGAGTCGGTAGATTAACGGAAAACCAACTGACTGAAGATTCCGCAATGAGAGAGTGACCCCGCGTACGATGCTCTGTCCGTGAAGGGAAGTACTGTTGCAACTCCGGGGCCATATCACCTTTCAAGATCTTCCTCAGGCAGATGAGATCTCCCCTGAGGCGTCGATAGGCAATTGGGATCTAGTTTTATTTGAGATAATTTATTGCACGGAACTCAGTGTTAACCACGTCTTCACGTCCTCAGAAAAAGGAAAACAATCCGTAGGTGGTGCTTGAAGCCTCTCCTACCCGTTGATGACACCATAACGAACTGGACGATGGATTGGCTAGGACGAATTCCGACCCGTACTAACTGAACTGCACTTAACACCTGAGTAAAAATGCGTGCTCGGGAAAACGCAAGCTGTATTGTAAAACATAAAGTAGTATCCTAGTAAAGTTGCTTACGGGAAAACATAAAAAGAAAATGCTCTTCTGGATTTTTTCACAGTCTTCGACACTAAACATGTTCTCATCTCAGAATAATTCTTGGTAATGGTAGGGTTGCATTCTTCCATTTATCGTGATTTTCCATCAAATACACACCTATTTGACAATGGATCCAAGGGGATAATGAAAAGGCCAGTGAAGAATTATTTTAGAAACGTCACTCGTTAGATTACTAATGGAAACAATAAGGTTTCCAACACCATGGGGCAATGAAATGCTATAACCTTGCAGACAAGAAAAAGTTTTTGTATCAAGAAAATAAAAACACTGAAAGATCCCAGTGGATGGACGAGTTATTTTTAATCAAAGCCGTACATGATTATTTGGAACTAAACGAACCTGCATGTTCCGTTCATATAGGTGTGTGTGATTAATGAAGCTTCATTAGCGTTTTAGAATTGGCTGTTTGGGGAAAAATGTAGGTGCTTGTGAATGTTTCAAGATACCAACACCTTTTTTATTAATGATTGAGCGAAAAACGGAATGAACTTTCTTATCGTGCTGTTGTTTATCTTAGCTCAATGCGGTTTGCTGATAATCGCGAGCTGAAATGTCACCTAAATTTCATATTTATTTGACAGCGCTTCGGGAAATCGTTAAATAATTACATGTAATTTCTTACACCAATCTGACTTCTTGGCAAGACTTTCGGAATTCCACACCACGGTATAGGTTCAGCAAGCTGCCACGGATCGGCCATTTTTTGGCGCGAACTGGCTATTGCGTCGGACGTGGTGGTCTCGTGTGGTTTCTCGGCTGACCATTCGCACCCAACGGTTGTCACGTTCCCATTCACTGTTGACAGGCTATAGAAAAAAGTGGAAAATAATTGTGAAATGGAAAAAAGGCGCTCCCACGCTGACTATTCCCCAGATGCATGCGAGAAGAGTAAACGGTAAGCTCGTTTCCACGTGACGCTACACCCGTTGTTTGTCATGCCCCTCGTTACCATTTGCGTTATAAGTGGCGGTCTTTGTTAGATTCCACATAGTTATTGAGTGTCTTTTCAATGTTCTTCAGTTCCTCTCTTACCGATTCGAGCGGATCATGTGGGCACGATCATTTGGAACAAGAAAAACGTGTTCGGCGAGAAATTGCCAATAGTAATGAACGCCGGCGAATGCAGAGCATTAATGCTGGTTTCGATTCCCTTTCGGATTTTACTCCCGCCTATGCAGGATGGTGAGAAAATGAGCAAGGTGAGATTGCCCGTCTATAGATGACATGTGTTTAGGCCACTATTCTTCAACTTACAGCGGAATATATTAACAACCTCCTTCATCGAGTAAATCTCCTCGAACACGAAATCGCTGCATACCGGCAGTCTACTGGGATTCAGCCGGCCACAACGATTCCCGAGTTCTCGTTGAATTTACCTGTTCCACGCAAACGAAGGCTAGATGATCAACGTAAGTGGTTATTTGAATGTACGATGCATTTGAATCACATATGCCCGTATTGTTGCTTGAATTCATGCTTCCTGCTGACCTACCTTAGCCAGCCCTCAATTGTGTAGGAGTTCCTGTTCATCGATTTTAAAGATTCTAGACGACGCGTGATTCCCTTACTTGGATCCGTTTGTATAGGTTTAGATTACTGTACTTGGAGCTTCTGGTACATCCCCAGGAAATGTATTGTAGCGAAAGCAATACCGTCCTTGAGAACTGACTGATTAGACTAACTGCGCCGAGGGCGAGTAGCCATCCTTGCTCTGCACTTTTCGGAATAAATAAGCCGGTTTTTGACCGTAACCCGTCACTTTCGAACATCCAGGCTCGTGAAGTGACTTTGGACTAGGTTACCGGTTCCCATCACTAAACAGCGTGTTCCCATGACGGGTTTACCCCGTCTGCTGTTCATAACACGTAATAAATATCTAGACCACTCCACCAGGAATGCAATTTCAAGGATATCATTGGCACCGCGTTCCATTAAGATGTATTCTCACCCCACTTGAACTCACTATTATGAAATCCGATTTTTAATCTCCGCAGTATGTAACAGTAGACGGTATAGGTGTCTCTCAACGACTGAATGATTCCATGGTATGATTCCTTTCTTGTATTAGCTGGCCTTTTGGGTGTCTAAGACCACTACATAGCAAGTTACATGTGCGTGACTTATTAATCTCAGTTTGGTGAAAATAGCAGGCACCTTGCCCTGAACACCGAGGTTCGGATTTTAAACTCCGTGGGTGATTTTGGTGGGTTTCTCGTGGAGGGGGAGGGAGTGTTAAAGAACGACGGCGACGAGCAACGCGCTATCGATAACTCATGTTTTTTGGAACATTCATGATCGCTTACGACAAAAGTGAACACAAACGCTCAACCGTCAGTGTCTAATGAGGTTATTAGTGTAGGCATTGTCGTGGCCTACTGATAGCTGTTTCCCGACTCAAGTGGAGAAATTCTCAACGATCTCTAAGCTCTCTGACGACTTCGACCGATACCACTGGAGTTTGTGCCTACATGTATGCACTATTACGGTGTAGCCGCAATTCGCTCGAATAGTCTCGATCTGTCCGCTAAACGATCTTGTACGGAACACTTTCTATCAGCTGATTGATGGCGTGATCTACGGGCGTCCTTTGCATATTTTAATTCAAGCTTACAATAGCCGGTCTACGGTCTGGCGCGCTCTGTTTTAGGTATAAATGGAATACCGATCTAAAATCATTGAATTTTCTTTTCGCATGTGAGCTTTCTGTCCACACCTGCATTGTCCTGCTCACGGTATTAAATGGTTCTTCAAATATGAATTTCCAACCATCATTATCGAGCTCTGGGTCCTCGGGACCGAAAGGCCGACTCCTACAATGTAAGGCTTAATTCCAGTGGTGATGTGCTTTGATTTTTTGTTTACTTGAACATTTTAGGTAAGCAGAGGCACCATAATGAGACCCGTGGTGAGGCGGCGACCTAAACCCCTCGAGTTCGAGGGTAATATATGTGAAATGTTCGCAACAGCTGTTATCGCTTCTGTAAACCCGAAGTACATTAATCCTCTTAGTTCGTTTATCCAAGTGAACATGGTTTCATTTGTATCTTAATACATAATTTCCCACTATTTATTCTTTGTCTAGGGAAACGTTCCAGCGGAGTGCGTTCTCGTCGACGGCGTGCGGAAATTGATGCACCGGAAATAAGCCGTCAAGATTTCCTTCATTGCTCTCCTACCAGTGCAGATACTCATCAAACGTCGCCGTCTAATTCGTTTATTGGCAGTGTTTCCGTTTCCCCAACATCACCGCTTCCCGAAAGTGGAAGCAGCACATCCGCAAGACTGGAACATCTGGTGATGGCCATTGAACAAATAGAGGGTGGTCGAGCCTTGAATGGATCGCCTGGAGATGAAAGCCACGATGAAAGCTTTTCAACAGGAGACCAGTCACCCCCATTACCTAGTGAAGCCTGTTGGCAAAGCCCCCAAGAGAACTACCATGGATGTGTTTACTCTGAGGGCAACTCATCGCTTAAACCTTTGAATCCTTTTCCTGATGTACTTATGCTGACCCCTGTTCCTGATGTTCCAAACACCTGTCCTACCACGGAAGCCGATTCGCAACTGACAAATTCTACTGACTTTCCCGTTACTACTAAATTTCTTAATCGCCCCATCCCCCACAAATACCTCCATAGACCTCAAGTTGTCGTTAATAGTTCTCATTGACGTTAAACCGTTGTCAAACCGATCGGTTCTTGTTCCGAAATGATAGTTTATCCTTTCTTCGCCGAAATCATGAGTTTTCGGTAGTGTATATATAGTTCGGTTATGCCGCTTCACTGGAATTATCCTATTTTTGATTTTTCTATCCTTAGCTGGCTACCACTGAGCCCCTTGTGCGCCACCTATGCAAAGTTTTCCTGCTGTAAAGTCATCCCTAGTTTGTTTTTTCCGGTGCGATTGCCTGCATAACATCACTTATTGTGTTTGTTGAGTTGCTTCCACTTGAACTAGATATGTTGAAATGTTCGCACGTTAACAATGAATTCCAAAAATACACGGTAGAGTGACCGTTGGAGTGTTCAGTTTATACCATACCGTCGAGGTTCGAGCGGAGTTCCGATTTTTCGCGTCCTTTTTATCATAAAGCGCAGCAGAATCTCCGATTCCCATAAGGTAATTACAACTTATTTTCCTTGCTTTCATTTATTACACTTGTCAGGACCAGCCTTTGTTCAAAGGCAATGAAATTTACTTCGTAAAGGGTTCGTGGATGAATATGACAATCTGCGCTTCTTTTTCACGTTATTTATCGCAAGCTATACTTGAGTGAACCCAAACTTGGCTGTCATAAGTGGATTGTCGGTTTTGGGACCGAGAGTGGAACGTTGCAGTAGCATTTAATACATAGTCCCGTGAATCCCGTCGTCTCGGCGTTTTCATTGACGAACTGCTCGGCAAAACAAGCCTGACTAACAGTCGGTGAAAGATCATCATTATCCTCGAGGTCTGTGATTTTGTCGCACACCTTGACCATCGTTTCAGGTTCACCCCTAAGGGAGGGTTGTTGCTGTCCTGACTGCTTATGCGTCGTCAGCAGGAATTGACGATCCATCCGCATGTACGTGCTAGTTCTCGGAGCTACAAGGCAGAACTGTGTAAACTTCCCTACGTAGATCGATCACAATGGCTTGATCAGAACCGTGTAGAATGCGTATTTTTGCGAACATCGTGTACCTCTTCCTCGACGTGCAAGCAATTTTGGACTCAGTTGGTTTCAAGGTCTTTGTTGTCCAGCTGCCCTGTGTTGAGTAATCTTTGTGAGCGGATCAAGAGAAGTTCGTGGTTACGGCAAATTTACCCGGAGTCTACCGGAAATGTGTTCTTCGCGATTGTTGGCATTGCGATCTCAGGGATCACCTAATCCGGTAAAAGTAGTGCAATGCAGCGTTATACAGTGCTGGGTGGTTTGAGTGCTAGTGTATCCATGTTCGTTTTGCACCAAGTGTAAAATGTAACCACAAGATTGGGTCGGTTCAGTCTCACCCTGGGCGGGAAAGTAGTAGGGGATGTAGACAAATTTTGCTATCTCATCTGGCGGACGCATCATAAATAAAGTGTCGGCGCGTATACAAAAGGCTCGATTGGCATTTGCCAACTTGAGACATTTGTGGCACCGTCGCGACATCCGGCTGTCTGTGAAGAGTCGACTATGCTGCAGCAGTTCGGCCAGTCGTGCTCTACGGTGCAGACATTTGGCCACTACGGGGACAGGATAAAAATAGATTACCGGTGTTCGAATACCGCTGTCTACGTCGCATGGCACGAGTCTGGTTGGGTAACCGGACTAGCAATGCTGAGGTAGAGTATAAGGCAGTTGTTTGAGGCATGTTTTACGCATGTCACCAAATAGGTTGCCACGGCGAGCGACGTTTTCCGAGGTAGGTAGCGGTTGGGAAAAGGTCAAGGGTGGTTAATCAAAGACCTGGCATGAGCGTATGGAAACCCTAACCAGGAGTCTGGGTCACATAGGTCCCGTTAGGGTCCCTGGATGAGGATCTCGGGTGATGGCCATCGATGGTTAGAGATACTGAGTAATAAGGTTGGGTGTCGCAAACAGTGGCGCTCGTGCATCCACTCATTATTCCCCTAAAACCGTTGTATATGAATTCTCCATCTTCCGCTTGAATTTGCTTTCAGCATTCCAATCTTCCTTCTACTGTTTTATCCACATGGGGCATCCAAAGACAGCAACCAAAACCGGCGCACGAAAGTGCATGGTTAATGGTTGTAAAAATTGAACTTCTGCAGTACTGAACTGTCCAGAAGTATTTAAGCGGCCTGGATGAGAGTCACTGTAATCGATGTTTGGAAACACCGAGTGATATGGTGGAATGTCGTAAACAGTGGCGCTCGCGTGTCTACTCCCTGCCCTTGCAGCCATAGCTTATATGAATGATCTCTTATCAGCGTTCCAATCTTCCTTCTAACCCTGTATCCAAACGGGCAACCATGAGTCGGCAATGAAAATCGCAGCACGGAAGTGCATGGTCGATGGTTGTTATGGTTGTTCAAACTGTGCTGATCCAGGAGTAGCGTTTGCTCCATGGAATCGCACGTATGATTATCTCTGGGCTCAGGTGATCCCAACAATTAATGGATTGTATCATGAAATCTTCACGTGTCAGATGCTCCTCTCGGAACTGTCCGGTAGGAACTGAATTTCTAACACAATCGAATGTCACTTTTGAGCTGTTTGACTCCAGATTTATTTTCCTTTTATTCCATTATCTGCTTGGGGATAAACCATTAGGTTTCACAATCATCAACCATGCGCCTTCTTGCGGCGGTTTTGGTTGTTGCATTTAGACCGCCCATCCGGATAAGAGTCGGCTCCGTGGATATTATCCATCGAGTTTTGTGGGGTTTGCATTCGAAACCGTGTCCCCAGGACCGCTATGGACTGTTGCACTACTCGTTTGCCTTCTGAGTAGGTCCCAACGGCGCCTTCTCCGATATTTCACTTGAGGTTGCACCTCGCAACTGGTGTTAGGACGCTCAGAGTAATATGGCTGTCGCGGTCGTCCATCTTTGCGAAAGTCTATATGAATTCTCAATCTTTTCTTTGACTCGACTGTCAACATTCCAATCTACTTTTTATCCAAACGGCCAGCTAAGATACAGCAACCAAAACTATCACACGAAGATGTGTGGCTAATGGTTGTAAAAACGAACAGCTGCACCTCACCTTTTCACATTCGAGTGCAGCCTTTAATGCAAGGGGGTTCTAGGTGAGCTGATAGCCTTTTGCCCAGTTCATTCGCTTATGGAAAACCATGTTATTATATTATATTTCACATTTATCTAAGGACAGACTGTGCCAAGAAAATCATGGTGCAATAATCTTTATAAAAAAGAAAAACGTTCCATGAAAAACCATGTATTGTAGATTGAGCACCACAGAAGCTATGGCTATTTTTGGGACACGCTGGTGCGGTAGGCAACCGCCTGGGTGGACCAGATAGTCGCGAGGATCTGCTGTTCAGTGACGAAAGCCGGTAATCTAAACCACGGGACCAGGAGTGGCAAACCTTATGGGACTCCTCTAGGTTAGGCGTGGTGTTGAACCAGACGAAAGCAAAACCGCCTAGTTGCGGGTCGCGATTGCCACGTCCCTCGGTATTTTATATTGACACTAACCAAACTGAACCCCACAGCGTCCTTGGGTATCGCTGCTCTTCATCGTCGCATAGTGAAGCTCACACTGAATTCAAACAATGAGATTGTCAGGATTTAAGTCTGTTTTTAGGTAGGGGAGGGGAGAAAGTTTATGGTAAACAACGAGACTGCACCTCGGCGTGGTGTGGTGGCTTATGTACCTTCGTGATCCAACAAGCTACCCAGGATCTCTTTTGTGAAGCTGAAGATCTATCATGCCTGGAAGGTCGAAAAGCAGAGGTCAGCCGAAGTCTAATCTGGTCCCTCAGGTCAGGGGTTCGACTCGAATTGGCGTTCCAGTCGGTAAATATGGTGGGAGAATAATCGGTCCCAGTAAATGGGACTCCACTTCGCCTTACCCACTGCCTTGCGGTTAGGTTCTTGTCAGAACTAAAGACTGGTTGAGAACACGAATCGTCCTCATGCTTAGGGGCTGGACACCTTTGCAGTACCCGTCCATCAATCTCCGATGCATAAAAACTTTTGGCAGCGATCAGTGAAGTTCGTTTTATTGTATTTCGTTGTACGATGATTATGGTGAACACTGGGTACAGTGTTTATTATTTTTCGTGCATTCTGACCTGACAACAAGAGCGCCACTGCCTTCGGACCGTTGCCAGGTCCTTCAGTGTCTCCAACCAACCAGTTGGAGAGTAAATTGGACCCCAACCTGCATTACCATCAGTCTTTTATTTGGTAAGCCTACGCTCACCTTATTCACATTTTATCACCAGATTGTTGATTAACCCCCTGTCCACTACCTGGGTGCTCGGCTTGCAACATATTCTACTTTAGAGGATTCCTGGGTATGTCAACCCTTCTTCGAGTGTCCGAATGGTGGTTCTTATAGCCGTATTTAGGTGCATTTATGGTTATAGTTTACGATATTCAAAAATACGTGCTCGAATACCTGGTTAGTCAGTGTACTGAATGGCATGGGTCAAATGACTGATTCCGTCTCCCTGTCAGTTCTTGGAGGAGAAGAAACTTATGCTCCTAGTGGCGGATAGGGCAATAGTCGCCAGTTCACTTTTTACAGCTAATAAGGTGGGCCTAGACTTATTGAATGTGCGGTCGAAGAAGATCAAAGGTAGTGCTCGAGGAAGTGGTGGGTTTATCGCTTAGCGATAATTCTACGCGGCAAAAATACGTAGACAGAGTCGTGGTATTGTGAATATGTTGTGAATATTTCTCCGTGTTTGATTTCTTGATCTAAAAGCGCCTTTGGACTCAGTCGACCGCTCTAAACTCAGGCGCTGAAGGGAGTGCCTGAGAAGTTAATCGCAATATTACAATTGCTTTATGCGAATAGCCCAAACCGAGTTTACCACGGAAAGTGGTGTTCGACAGGGTTGCCCTCTCTCTCAGTTTCTATTTAACTTGGTGATAGATTCAATTCTTGAAACAGCCCTATCGATTTACTTCCAGGTGGCAAACGGGGACAGGATAAAAATAGATTACCGGTGTTCGAATACCGCTGTCTACGTCGCATGGCACGAGTCTGGTTGGGTAACCGGACTAGCAATGCTGAGGTTAGGTGTAGAGTTAAAGGCGGTTGCGGTCGTCCACTGGAGCAAGTGATCGACCTCCATAGATTACGCTGGTTGGGACATGTTTTAAGCGTCACCAAATAGGTTGCCACGGCGAGCGATGTTTTCCGAGGTAGGTAGC